CGCCTTCCCGGATAATTCAGTTGCAATCACAATTGTGGTTGGAGGAAAGCAGCTGTAAAAAGAAGGAAGATGGGGGAAAACGAAGAGTAAGATGTGGACCTAACGACATGTGATAAGATACCAATTGACATATGTGAGTTACATTTGCTGAAGAAATGCTCGGAGAACCATTCCGTCTGTGCTTCATCCGTCAGCTTTAAATAAGATAGTAACCTGCTAACTCTAGAACTACTAGAGTTGAAGCATTGGGAACTTCATTTCATCGTGCTGGCTCAAAAATGTGAAATTCCAGGTTCCAGCTAATTACACGGCTAAAAAAGCTCAAGGTGGAAACTTTAGGAGTATGAATTCTCTGGCATTCTGGGGCAAACAAACTGTAGTTAGTTCCCAACTTCCACTGTTATTTACGTTCTACCTCAGGTTCTTGTTCAAGCTCACTTACCCGAAGCCGAGAAAGCTACAAACTAAAAATTTTGGCATATTAATTCCCTAAAGTTTCAAATAGCAAATTGGTAACGAATTTAGCTTAGAACTAAGCAGAACAAAACAGGATGTATACAGCCCTCACTAAATTACTAAGTGTTTTTTCCAACTCTGATGACGAACTAGAGAACAACACATTGTGCGTGTCAACACTCTGCAACACATTTCCTGTGATGTATCGGGGCTTCGGGCTGGTGTAAGCGATATAAGGTATAAGGCATTATTAGACAGAAAAAAGAGCTGCGCTGGTCATATGACAAGAATGAGAGGCCGCAAATGAGCAAAGCGATTTAAAAGTGCCAAAGTAATACTATAATTAGCAAGAGTTGTTGGTACGATCATGCGCTTCCAGAACCTGAAGTTTCCGCATCCATATGCGAGACTCGGGCGTTTGCGAAACTTGATGTTATGCTTTCATTATCGCACAGGACAAACTAGAATCCTCGCTAAACTTCAGCTTCCTTTCCTGTCTGATTGCTGGGAAAGAAAGATGATGACAGTGTTACAATCTGAACGCGTCCGCAAGAGGAGTACATGTGTAAGCAAAAGCTCATTTTATACTTACAGACTCGCGCATTTACAATACACATCCTCACAAAAATACTGCTTCCTACCTAACTGAGCGCCAACAGTGTTCCAAATTGAATTTTTATGCGTTTTTTGCAGCAATGCAATGCGAAAAACGCATATTGACGAGAGGTTGTC